TTGCTGTGCGCCTTTGTTAATTCTCTGTAAGTTATCTGAGTCCTGCAAAATAGATTCTAGTCTGATATATGGTTAAGTTCATAACACGAGAGTTGAGTTGTATTTCTATTAGTAAGTGGCACTGATACGTCTTTCAGATGGGAGTCATGCAAGGAGAGGAAGAGAAACCAAGCTCACAGCCTTGCTGTTGAGTCCTCTGGGGACACCGGTCACTATAAAGACTGGATGTGATTCTAATTCATGAAACCATCAAATTTGTTAATACCTACTCCTAGAGCTATGAAGTTCGAAGGGGCTTTGAAAGGTCATGTAGTCCCTCTCTCCAGCTTTGACCAAAAAACTAAAATAAAATAACTGCAGACTATTGTATAGTCTTGCAATTTTTTAGGGACTTTCTGAAAGGAGATTTCACAATCTCCCTCAGAAATACAATTCGGTTTTTAACAACCCTCATTGTAGAAAAGGTCATTTTAATATCTAACCAGAGTCCCAATTGCTATAATAAAAGGCCATGTCCTCCTTTTTAATTCTTGTTAAAGATGGTGAAGAGTTGGTTACTAGCTTCCTCGTAAGTGAACGGGCATTGAGCACCCACCCTGGGCCTGTTCTCTTCTTACAACAACCCTTTATGTATTCAAGATCACCAGGAAGTCACTTTACAGCTCTCTTTTCTCCAGGCCCAATGAACCCATAAACATTTCCTCTCCCAGGTCCTACGTTCCAACTCCCTATTAATCTTGGCAGCCTTTCTCTGCAGAATTTCTGTGCCCCTTCCAGCAAGGAGCACATTCCTAAGTAGTTTCTGACTAATTTGGAACACAAGAGATTTCTCAGTTCTGGGAGTTGGTTTTTGTTTTCTTTTAGGGTTTTTTTTTTTTTCTTTATGCCTATAGATTGTACACAACAGTTTTTTTCTGCCACCGGGCAAGTTCTTCTGAGCTTTGCCTAAAGCTTTTGTGACTCTGGGAGGGAAGACAATAGGGATGAAGGAAACAGGAAAGACATCAGTAACACATGGGTATGTAAAGCTTCGTTTATGAAACAGAAAGTCAGAGAAAAGTATTCATTGCCCACAGAAAAGCAGAATAGCCTGCTCGCTTGATGCTTTTGTTCGTGGGCACTTTGAGCAAACAACCCAGCAACGTTATATGTGAGAGAGTGGGTAGGTATTAATATAAACATGTATATGTGTGAATGTAAATGGAAAGAGTCCTTGCAGCAGGGGTTCTAAAATCAACCTAAGACTGCGGTTTCTTTCATCCTCCTTTTCTCACAGTTGGAGGCCAGGCAAGCAATCAATAAATAATTGTTCACAGTGATTGGCAAGTTTCCCTGGGACATTATAAGATATTACTGCTTTTGAAGAGTTTAAAGCAGTTAGGGAGAACAAACCAACTCACTGGCATTCGGAAAATTAACAATAGAAAGTACGATCTACAGTGAGTTCTAGGAACCACAAATGACGTGAGGTCAGGAGACCGTGGGTTGGCAGCACGGCTGGGCTGGCCAGGACAGGGTCACCTTTTAGGGGGAGGAGACCTTGGACTAGCACCTGATAGATGGGTAGCTAGAGATGGGTGGGGTCTACGTGCCTAGCAAGGTGGCAGTATGTTACACTGACCACTTCAGAGGTCGCAGTGACCGCCTAGCAGGGAAATTAGCTGTCATTGCATTCGGGGTGAACAGCAGTGCAGCAAAGAGGCTGAAAGCATGAGCACAGGAGTGGAGGTGGCGAAAGCTGTCAGGCCCTGTGCAGTGACCATGCCATGCAGTCCTGCTGCTGGAGCAAGTCTCCTGGGAGAGAGAGGGGCAGAGGCTTCCAGCGTTCCTCTGACAAGAGTGTGTTTGTGTGCACACGTGCACCTGCATGTATGTGATGATTCATCAAGGCGCCCTCCAAGTGCGTGTGTGCTCACAGACATGTACACACACTCTCTCCCTGCCCCCATGCAGCCAGAGTAGAAAGCATGGGATGGAATCTCGGGTGTTTCCAGGGCCAGCCCTGAACACACAGGAACAAGAATCGCTATAACTTTTATAAACACACAGACATCTTTATAGGGAAAACCACTCTACCCTCTTTGAAAGAAAGATTAGAGAACGGTGAGGCAGAGGAGAAAAAAGAGAGAAAGAATGAGGTGAAGTCCAAGCAGGCAGATGGAGAAGAAACAAAAAAGACAAGAAAGTAAAAAGAAGCACAGCGACCCAACTCCAGAAGGATTTGAGCTGTCGGTAAGGATGTCTGATTAAATCTCTGGAGATATAAAGTATTTCTTGAGTACTTGTGTATACCTCGGTAGCTGCTCTTGGAACGCCAGGATCTCATCATCACAGCCTGGCTTTCACCACCTTTAGATAAGAAACGACTGAGAACATGGCCCGTGGGTGAACTCATCCCCATGGCCTCATGGCTGACGCTCAACCAATGTTTGTTGAATGAATGAAATTATACTCTGAACTTTGTGGCTCCCAGGACAGATGGTTCCTGTAAGATAATCACCACTCTGCTCATCTTTCTGTAGGACTCCCTCTCCACCAGTGCTTTGCCTTTAGAGCGGGTGTCCCTCCAAGTGTCGGGGTGAGCCCTCCACAGAGCCAGCGCTCACCGTACAGGTCTCTCCCTTCCTTCCCCACCTATCTCCAAAGTCCTGCTGCTTTTTTTTTTTTTTTCTTAATTCTGTAATTTAGTATTTCATTATTTTGATGTAAGTCAAATAGACTCTGCAGATGTCCCTGGGAGAGGGAACACGTTGAGCCATAGCAAACATTTATACTTCGGTCTAAAGGTATATGGAGGATCATTTCCTAAAAACAGGATGCTGCTTCTGGAGGGAAAATGAGAATTCTGGTCACCTGGGTAGCAAGGAAGTGGGAACAAAAAAGACAAAAATGGGAATCCGGAGGAACAAAGACAACTTGTTCCTGCTGCTCAGTTTTGTCTCAGGCTGTTCATGTCTAGTGGCGTCCATTTCCAGCCCAAGTGCTTTGCCCTGGTCCTCCTCCTGGCTTCTGGTTCTTTTTACTTGAGTACCCAGGAAACTAAGGATGCCTTTGTCTCTACTTTGTCAACTCAGCAACAGAGCAGCTGCCTTCAGCGCCCCGCCAGGCTGTTTCTCTGCATGTGCTGATTTGCCGAGCAGGTGTGTTCTCCCCAGACACACCTTTTAAGGTGATGGTGTCATCAGTCAGCAGTGCCCAAGGAACTGGAGGGAAGGGAGGGAAAAGGCTAATTGGTTTCCATCCAAAGTGCCCGCGCTGTTTCTGATACCCTGGCGTGATGCATCTGTTGTGTTTGGTGTCCTCTCTCTGCACTGGGTACAATTACTCCCTCCAAGGAAGTTAATGGAGTAGAGGGAGGTGGAAGCTTAAGTCAAACGATAGTTGCCCTCTTTCTCCCCCTGTATGACAAAGGCCAACATGGAAACCCTGATGTTGACACTAATCGTCGCGCTCGTGATTCGGGTGGTCGGAGGAGTGGCCTCCTTTCGTGTCGCTCTCCTGTTTGTACCATCAGGAAGTTGGAACCGAGATCTAAATCACACCCTGATTCTCAACACCCCCCTGCTGTTCTGGTTATTTAAACGTGTTTGATAAACCCCTGACCTTTCGGATACCATTCTTTTTGATGGTCCTCTTCCATGCGAATTATTTTTGTGTGTTTATTGCCCTATTACTGAACTGGTTCTGCTTGATTTCCTTGTTCACTCTTTAATTTGGTAGCACCTTATTTTACAGTCCACTAACTTTGTTAAAAATAAATTCACTTTACTCGTGTGGTTAGTATTACTCATTTGATAACGTAAGTACCACATTAGGGTGCGGGGAATGCGCAGGAAGTGCCATGCAATTACAAGGTAAATATATGATGGGTTTATTTTATCCTCTAAGCCCAACACAGGGTGACAGAGTAATTACTTTCGGACCCATTAAGTGTACTTACCACATAATCTGTAGGAAGATTAATTATGTAGTTAGCACCTGCCACCTTCCATTTCTGCACACTTTCCGAGATTACACCTTCTTTGGGATTATGTTGCCTCGGATAAATCTCTTCTGCTGACTTGCGTTAACCACCGTGAATCCACTTCAGGAATAAACCACACCCAGTGTACATGGAGCAAAAGAGTTGACAAGCAGCTACCACACACCTTGGGGGATGGGGAGACAGCCACATCCTAAATTCAAACTAACGCTTTTATTTTTGCTTTGCTCATGCATCCAATAGGATGGAGTAGGAGAGGTATGGGAGAAACAGCATGTGCCCCCTTAGAAACCAACCCTCTTCCACAGTAAAGTATTAGCGTCTAGCATATGATTGGTGTCAGAAAACATCGACCATGCACATGACAGTACCTGGGACCAAGACCTTCATATCTCACAATAAAAATTCGCTCATAATGATTGTATGCGTTCAACGGATGCTGTCAGTATTCTCTTAATCTGAATGATTTGTGCCAAAGCTAAAACTCATATTTGTGAACTCTGGTCTTCTCTCTCTTGACTCATAGACCGTGTGTTCTCTCTTCTCCCTAGACTGCTCTCTGGGAATGCATGTGCCCCAGGTCGTATATAAGCAGAGCAGTTCACCCATATTTTGTCATTGTGTATGAGTCTGTCCTCCCTCCAGTAAAGATAAAATGTAAAAAGTACTTTGCAGGTAATTATGACTTCCTGAAAAAAAGTAAGTGAAGGAGTTGTCTGCTTTTACTAGAAAAATGTTATTTTTCTTTGCAAAATTGATTCTCTTGTTCAGGAGTCTGTTACATGGTAAGCTACCTTCATGTAGTTAAGATATTTGACCCGCATCCCTTTGATTTATACAAGGCATTTTAGAAACATGATTATTGTGTGAAAGAGAGTACAACGTGTGGCTAGCTACACGTGTCATTTTCTCAGAACAGTAGCTCCAAAAATCCAATAGCATTTCATTTTGTATCCCGGGGTGGTTCTTTGGCTCTGTGCCTGGGTTGGTCATTGAGGATTTCTCTTGTGTCTTTCAGGCATTGAAAATGCCAGCGACATTGCTTTGTACTCGGGCTTGGGCGCTGCAGTCGTGGCCGTTGCAGTCCTGGTCATTGGCGTCACCCTTTATAGACGGAGCCAGAGTGACTATGGCGTGGACGTCATTGACTCCTCCGCATTGACAGGTGGCTTCCAGACCTTCAACTTCAAAACAGTCCGTCAAGGTCAGCGGCACAGGTCCCCCAACACCTGGTGCTCAGGACCATAGCCTACAGTCACACAGAAACCCCCGTGTTCTCCTGGGCCCTGTGTGAAGGTAGCTCTTGGCCCTGGGAGCCGCTACCAAACTGTCTTCACACGATACGAGACCAGGCTCTATGAACTGGTCTGTTTGGGTCCGTGGTTACCGCGAGGACAGATGGATCTCAGTTTACCCTTAGCAACATTTAAAATGAGGCGTTTCCATCTTTAATATATAGCGAGCTTAATGAGTTATTTTATCTCAAATTATCCAACTTTCTATTTTAAGAAGCCCACGTTGGAGCTGTATAATTAATTTAGTTAACTAAAATACCGATTATTCAAGGTCGAGGGCCAACTCCTATACCACAATCTCCCAGGTATATTTATTACACTGTTTATGAGGTGGAGTTGTTTTTGTTATTTCTATTTTAAAAAAGTAAAAGGAGTTTAGTAAATATATGATGGGGTCAGTTAGCCAAGGGGAAAAAAATGAAATTCCAGCCGAAATAACTCTCAGCTGTTGCCAGGTCCAAGCAATCTTTGATTGTGGGGGAAGGAAAATCCATCATGTCAAACTATAGCAATACTCATTTTCAAAACAAAGTCGTTTAATTCTCTTTTAGGAACCAAATCTATTCCTGATTGCGAGGTGGGGATGAGACAGACATGGTTTTCAGTTTAGAAAAAACGAAACTGTCTCTCTTCAGAGGATGACATTTTCTACCTTGACCTTCACTGTCAATATTGTCGCTTTGATTTCGGTGTATTGTGCATCAGTAGTGCCTGGGTACAGGACACGAAGAAGTCTCGGTGCGTGGCAGTGATTGAGTAGACAGGCTTCTGAAGTGGGAACCCCAAGCATGCCAGAAAAAGAAATTAAGGGACGGCCGAGCGACAAGTCACCTCGGGACCCTCAGAGTTAGGCTTCAGATAGAGATACATCCCTTAGATTTGGATAAATAGTTCAATATATGTGACTTAAGCAGAAATAAATCCAAACAAAGAACTGGTTTTTATGCTACATAAAAACTAGAAATAGGCCAGGCGCGGTGGCTCACCACGCCTGTAATCCTAGCTCTCTGGGAGGCCGAGGCGGACGGATTGTTTGAGCTCAGGAGTTCGAAACCAGCCTGAGCAAGAGCGAGACCCCGTCTCTACTAAAATTAGAAAGAAATTAATTGGACAACTAAAAATACATAGAAAAAATTAGCCGGGCATGGTGACACATGCCTGTAGTCCCAGCTACTCGGGAGGCTGAGGCAGGAGGATGGCTTGAGCCCAGGAGTTTGAGGTTGCTGTGAGCTAGGCTGACGCCACGGCACTCTAGCCCGGGCAACACAGTGAAACTCTGTCTCAAAAAAAAAAAAAAAAATATTTCCGTCAGATAATAAGATATCAATATCTCAGACCATAACACTTGAAAATAGAGGAAGCGTATTGCGGTGAGAGACGGTTTCGTGTGTAAGTCCACAGGCTTTGAAGTCAATTCGATTTGAGACTAAAACTGCCGTCTGATCTCACCAATCAATTATCCTCTCTGAGCCTCAGTTTTTACAGCTATAAAATGGGGATACTAACATCCACCTCACAGTGTTCTTGGGAGGATGAAATTACCTGCAGTAACATGGGTAAGCCCTCGGAGTATGAAAAGTGCTCATGAACGTAGTGAATACGGTTCTAGAAGCTGGTCCTTTCCTCTTACCCAAGCACAGGATGCCAGCCCCAGGCAGCAGGCGAGAGGGATGGTTTCCTGGTCTAAACGTGTTTGGGGAATGCTCACTTGCCTAGGCTTAAACATCTTGTTACGGAGGGGTTTCTCAGAACTTTCCAATATTGTGAATCTCTAAGAGAATATGTAGCCTTACCAAACTTATTTGACCATTGTGCTTTTTATTTTTGGCCAAGAATCTCACAAACTAATGATAAAAGGAAAAACCCTTTGGTAAATGCTACTCTCCTTGTATTCATTGCAATGATCTGCCTTGCAATGGAGGCCGTGTGGTTTTCACCTCCACTGTCTTAGAGCTAACCACTTCTTGAGCACGACGTCCGGTGCCCCAGGAAGCTGAACGGTGAAACTTTTAAATAGAATGCCAGACTTGCAGAAGGATTTCCAAAGAGAAGATTAGGGTGACCAGAGGTGGGTGACCAGCCCTGGTCAGACTTCAATCACATTGGCAGCCAATTTTCTCCAACTGCAGACTCTGTCATACGTACATACTTTTGTAATCAGGCATTTTGCACTCCTGTGCTAACTCCAGGAGAGATTTTTGCTTCTTCGCTTCACATAAGCTAGGAGGGTCTTTTAAGAGTAGCCAAAAATTAAACTTCAGAAGGTGAAAGCTTGAGATAAAATAGCCAAGGGACTTAAGGATAAAACTTTGGAGGTCTCCATGGAAACTCCTGTTGCAAACTCTTTTCAGATGTAAGATGGTTCTTCAGTCTCGCTTCTTGCCTGGGAAGACCATAAACAAAAGCAAGGTTTTCACCTACAGAACTCAATGCAGTCCTGTTAAAAAGCACAGTCCCCTCATGGTGCCTGTGTCTCCACACAGCAGCCCCAAGCGTGAGCAAGATGCATGATCAGGGAGCTGTTAGACCCTCGAAGTTATTTCATCGCATTTGTGTATTTTCCTCTGTGATTCTGGATTCTTAGAGCATCAGAACAAGAGGTGGGAAAAGTCAGCGATTATAGATTTCCTGCCGGCGTTGCTGCAAATTATGAAAATGGAAAAACAATAGAGGCTAATACAATATGGCCTGGAATGGCAACATTTTCCGAAATATCATACTTTAAACGTCTTTGTCAGGCCCCAAAGGAAAATTGTTTGGGTTTCAATTTGAGATGTCACATTGACGGACTGATATGGGTGGGAAGCTTGGGACTGAGGGTTATTTTGTTATTTACTAATAAATGAGATTACTTCATCACGAGAAAAATAAGACCGCATTTCTTCTTAATATTTGGCTTGGAAAAAGTTGGTGAGCCACAACAGATGACAAAGCCCCATTTCTCATGTTTTTGTAAAGACGATTTTTCTTTTCATTTGTTTTGAGACAGAATGGAAGCCTTTCCAAGCTGCTCCCCACGTAGAATCTGAGTCCCGGCCCGTTCCCATGTGGTGCGTTCTTTCCCTCTCAGGGTGACATGCGCGTTATCAGAGCAGATTGGCCACTAAGACGTGGTGCAATCCATGAGGTCCGCTGACCCTTTTGCCCTGAGGACACATTTCGTCCCCCAGCTCCAGAAACTGCCCAGAATTCCACGTGGAATGTGCTGGAACCTAAGCAGCTCCGGTTATAAACAGCACTACCTAGTCACCACGCTGTGTCATCTCTTGCCATTTAAAAGGAACAGATGTTATTTTTGCTCCAAACTAGATTGCAAAACATCTTTTTTTTTGTTGTTTTTTAGCTTCTCTTTGCCAGTTAAAAGAACGACATAAACGATGATACCTGAGTTGGTTGCCTGACAGAGTGCCAGAAATACTTGTTTTGAAAAGGTAGCACGTGAAGGTCTCTGGAAAGTGGAGGATTTGGGTCAGCAGCATTCAGAGAATGCACTGTGGAAGCCCGAGCTCCGGATTCAAAGACTCTGGTCACTAATGCCCAACCTGGCAGCGTGGGTGGCTCGGCTTGGAGCAGCTGGCAGCCACGCAGGTTGTTGTGCAGTTAGTAGAGGCAGATGTAACGGGATAACCGAGGTGCCTTGTAGTTTCTGAGTGACAGATTGATTTTCTTTTACCAGGTAACTCCCTGCTCCTGAATTCCGCCATGCAACCAGACCTGACGGTGAGCCGAACATACAGTGGACCCATCTGCCTGCAGGACCCTCTGGACAAGGAACTCATGACCGAGTCCTCACTCTTTAACCCTTTGTCGGACATCAAAGTCAAAGTACAGAGCTCATTCATGGTTTCCCTGGGAGTGTCCGAGAGAGCAGAGTACCACGGCAAGAGCCATTCCGGGACCTTTCCTCATGGCAACAACCGAAGCTTTAGTACGATGCATCCCAGAAACAAAACGCCCTACATCCAAAATCTGTCATCACTCCCCACCAGGACAGAACTCAGGACAACTGGTGTCTTTGGCCATTTAGGGGGGCGCTTAGTGATGCCCAATACAGGTGGGTGGTAAGTGTGTCTGTGTATTTCCCAGCATTTGTTCAAACATTTCATACTTAATGCATTTTGTCCCATCAGATCCCCCTTACGATGTTGACCATCCCTTCATCAGAGCTGCAGCTGCTGCAGCTCCACCAGTCAACTTAGTTACACAGCAAACCAGAACCAACGCTGAGGTTAGGTTCTGCAGTCTTCGTCTCCACAGGGACCCAAGGCTCCATGTGGCGTCCTATTAGGGTTGATAGCCGTATTTTCCCAGAAGGTTTGGGTAATCCTCAGGGTAAAGCCCCTTTGAAATATATTTCCTAGAACATGATGAGAAAGCACCAAAAAAGTTCTTTGGCATGACTGACAAGTTCCATGTGCATACCAAAGCATTAATTTCATGAAATGGCACTCAGAGTCTAAGTTCATTGGGGACTGACCTAACAGACACTCTCAGTGTCCACAGACCTTGCTATAATTTTACTCTAGGATGAGCAATGATGAGGGCCATCGTGGAGATACTCTTTTGAATTCAGTTCCAGGGCTATGTCATCAGTACAATGAATTCTCATGTATTTTTTTCTCCCCTCCTTTTGGTTGGAAGAGAGGAGATTTTCTCCATGTGTTGACAAAGTACTTAAGGTGTCCAGCCCAGGTCACTTTTAAAATGACATCCCGTCTATGGATCAGTCTTCAGAGTCGCCACCTAAGGCCTGAGTGGATGGCAGATGACTTTCTCCTCTGAATCCCAAGCAAAAAAAAATAAGGGGGCCGCCGAAGCAAGGGGGGCTGGGGTGGCCAACGAAAAGGGAAAAAAGCCAACAGAAGGGCAAGGGGTAATAAAACAAAAGGCAACAACCAAGCAAGGCCAACAAAACCCAGAAAAAATTCCCCCCGGGAAGGCAACAAACAAACCCCCAAAACAAAAAATTTAACTCATAAAATGAAATCTATAATAGGACTAGTCCGAGAACTACTCTTCTAGCTAAATGACTCCTCTGGTAGCTCGGCGACTTCAGACTGAAATTCGTTGCAGGTTGACAGATGTTGTCTTGTTCTCTCCTAGAGCAGTCACTTCCTTAAAAACTTCATTTCCAAGTGTATTTTGTTTCATAAAAATAGCCCTCAACTGCAGCCCTAATTGGAGAGTCTTGTGTTTTTTTCACCCTCCAGTTCTCTAGATCTTCCTTGGTCAGCATTCTGGGACAGGAGAAGCATCTTGGTTCACATATGTACATGTGTCAATGTATGAGCATCTGTGTGTGATGTGATTCTTGCTGTTGATAATTGGCAGATAAAAGACTCAATGAGGAATGGATCAGTCAGCCGTATTTACCAATTACCCCCTGCCCCCCATAAGAATCCATGAATTAAAAGTGTGTGTCCAGAGGAACAAAGAGAGACGCAACCCCTGCTCGCTCAAAGAAAATAGGATATGCACGTTGGGTTATTGTGCATTTATTTCATCTCCTTGTTCTAGCTCATGCTTGGCACTTAAGAGACTCTCAGTAGTAACTGGTTGAACAAATTGGCCAGTACTCCTTCCCCTCCTCCTTTGCTAGTTTGTGTCCGTGTGTACACGTATTTACACACATGTGCGGGGAATGCCAAGACCAACCCATTCATTGGCTGTGTTTGTTTGATGTTCATCAAAGAAAGTGAGGAGATGAACTCCTGGGGAACTAGAGATTTCTTTTTCTTCCTCTCCGAATTGAGAAGTACTCACGTTGCAAACTAAATGTTCTGATAGCATTGTCAGTGATTCCCAGCTTCTCTATGAAAGCGGCATGCTCAAAGCTCCTGACGAGCAGTGCTGGGCAAGACTGGAGCTGCTCACTGGGAATAAGTTTGAGGGAAAATAAATGTGGGGAATCGAAACATATGTTCTGTTATGTGCAGGACATAAATGCGAAATATGCCCTGCGGAGCTAAGGTGTAAAGAAAGCAACGCACAGAAGTTAGATCCCTCTGATGCCGCCCACCCCAGATTGGCACAGGGAGCCTGGCAATGATGCCTCCACAAGGTCAGGGTGGTCTCCACACTCCGGCCATCATTTATTATTCCAAACATGAAACAGGAAACTCAGGTGGTTCTGTTGTCATTTCACATAAAAGGCTGTCAGGGTAGCAGGTGGAGTTTGGGGAGAGTACATTTTTCTTTAATTAGAGATAACCGGTGACTGACATATTGAATTGGATCACAGGCATAAGGGGCCTCTCATTCTTCATGATCTATAACTTGGCACCCCCCTCCCATGTGCCTCTGGGTTTGACTGTCTCTGGTCCCCATGTATAATTTGCATGTTTGGGCAGGAGGAGGAGGAAGTATGTTTGAAAGATAATAAATATCATAATACAGTTTCTGATTGAAGAAGAGAGAAAATAGTTGAGAGGTGCAATGATCCTGTCGATTCAGGTTGAATTTAGGAATATTATGAATAAGTTTCAATCTAAACACAAGGAATCGAGCTGAATTGAAAGGACACCACAGACGGCCCTTCCTCAAATGTCCTCACACACATTCCTTCTGTTTTGATCTGGGAGTCGACCATCAGGCCGTGATGATCTATAGAAGATAACATGTTGCAAAGCCTGGCTTTTTTTTTTTTTTTTTTTACTAAGAATTTTGAATCCTATTCTTTCATTCATATATTCAAGATATGTTTATTGGGTTCCTCCTCTGTGCCAGGCGCTGTGCTAAGTGTTACTGATCCAGTATGGCATTATTGCTTGATGGCAGCCTCCTGTACTCTTCTGCTGGAAGAGTAGGGACTGCATGTCTCTGTCGTCGCAGTGACCTGGAGAGCCTGACCTAGAGGCAGCAGAGAGAAAGTTCTATGTTAAGCTAAGAAAAGACAATGTTGGCTGGGTGCTGTGGCTCACACCTGTAATCTTACTCTGGAAGGGCGAGGCTGGAGGATCGCTTGAGGTCAGGAGTTCAAGACCAGCCTCAGCAAGAGCAAGACCCCATCTCTACTAAAAATAGAAAAATCAACCAGGCATTGGTGGCATGTGCCTGTAGTCCGAGCTACTCGGGAGGCTGAGGCAGGAGGATCACTTGAGCCCAGGAATTTGAGGTTGCTGTGAAGTAGGCTGATGCCACGGCACTCTAGCCCGGGAAACAGAGTAAGACTCTGTCTCAAAAAAAGAAAAGAAAAGAAAAGACAGTGTCCAGGGCCTGCATCCCAGTTGACATCCAAACACACCGAGTAGCCTGTGTGCTGCAGCTTGTGTTTATCAGCAGGGAGGGAGATCTCAGAGGCTGCTTCATTTGGCAACTGCATTTAAGGAAGAATAGCAAATGGAAGGGGAGCTGATTGGCGATCCCTAAGTGTGGCAATTACCGTTTTCCTACTATTGACATTAAGGTCCAGAATATAAATGGCTCTCCTTGCTGAAAAGCTGTAAGCACAAGATTTAAATGTGCCTGCTTCTTAGTGCCGGTGAAAGATACTGATGATAACTAGCATGTTACTGAATAATGCCCATAAATGTGAATCACAAATGACTTGTTTTGCAATGAGTCTTGCATTCCTTGACTCGATAGCTGCTAACAGGCACACAGAGGAATAGCATGAAAGCCTGCCATCTCCAGATTTAAATTGTCATCAGCAACCTGAAAGCTTTCTGAGCGATTACATTAGCTCTAATGAAAGGAAAAAAGGTGAGAGCTGCATTATTCAAAGAATGGGAGGCTGCCTTGAGATTTTATTTTGTAAAGATCTCACTGTTTCTCTATTTCATTTATTTTTATAAACAAGAAGCTACATTAAAGAGAATCTCTGGCCTCCCTAGACTCTTCTCTCCTGGACAAAGTGAAATATTTTCTTCACGGCATTCAAGAGGAAAGAGGGAATGTTTAAAATGCAGTGTAATGTGGCTTCCTGTGCCTTCCCTGTCTGCACTGTAGGATTTTTACTGAAGTAGGGCTGTTGGGTTTTATCAGTTTGACATTGACATTGATATGGTTAAGTCACCTTTAACCTTAACCCTTGCTAGTGTCTGTTTGCAAATTTAAGGCCATATTGTTTATGTAATAACCTGAAAGTTTCCTGAGCGTACCAGTTGCTTCTACTTTCTCAAGTTTTATTGATGAAATAAATACAGCCCTCCCTGGAACTCCACCCTCAGCTTCCTTCCAGATGCACAATTTGTAAGACAATTTCATGCCGGTTTCTAGCAAAGTATTAGATAGCTAACCCACCACCATCTCAGGTACCTTTTCAGGAAATCAGTGGAGAGAAAGACAAGATAGAGAAATACATTTTTAAACTTCGGAGCAAATTAACTGATATGTTGTTGATTAAACTCTTATGTTCTCAGATGTGTTTACTACCTCCTGATCTTAGAACACCCAATCTTTTAAGAGAATTAAATGATGCTGGGAAGACTTAAAGTTTATTTTTAAAAAAAATTTGAGTAGTCAGTTGAACAATGTGGCCCCCTTCTTTATGTCACTATTACAAAGCGATCTTTTTCCCCTTATTATCTTGGACTTTTTAAACTTTCCAAGGATTGGGATTTCATACATTGCCACGAGAAAGTCCTTTTTTGTGGGCATCTGTAAGGTGCTCAAGTGGGGTACAAGTTCATTGGAAAAATGTGAGTAACCTGTTGGGTTTTTCTGTTTTAGGGGTGAGTTTACTCATACCGCATGGTGCCATTCCAGAGGAGAATTCCTGGGAGATTTACATGTCCATCAACCAAGGTGAACCCAGGTAAGCGACAGAGAAGAATGGCATGTTAATGACGTTTTAAATATGGGGTGGAACATCTATGGAAAATCTGAAGTTGTTAAGATAATGAGAAGCGGACGTGAGATAGTGAGTAACTTGACTCTACAGAGGGAAAAAACAGCTGCAAAACTATTGGCTGGAATGAAAACATGTAAGACTCCACATTTCATGGTCCCTAGCCTCTTAACAGGAAACACCCAATGGAAAACAGTCAATTGGCAAGCGGGTCATAAGGAGGCTTCTTTATGACACAGACATCTTCCTCTGGAAAGAAAAGAAAATATTATCCCTGGAGGTAGTCTTTGGTGCTGGGCTTTAGGCAGATAACATACAGTGATGGATTCATGATCCTTTTAAGGTCAGCGGAAGACCTGCTATGTATAGGCTGAGAGACAATTTCTTAGGCAATTTTCCTCATGTAGAAATATGATCTAGACTTCAATAGCTTTCAGGTCTGACAAATTCCAGCAGCATTAAATTCAATTACATGAACAAATACAAATCTTGTCGCATACTCTTTTAATGAAAGTAGTTGGTTATTTTCTTAGCACAACGATAATATTTGTGGAAATGTTGCCTTCCTCCACACAAGATAAACCTAACTCCTCTTTAGAAAGCAATTTCTCTCATAAACTGGGATATATACCTCTGGCATTTTTAGTCATAACATCTTGGTTATTTTAGAATAGATTTTTTGTTGTTGTTGTTAGCCAAGAACACATGAAAGAAAAACACTGGAAGGAAAAACAGCCAGAGAAACAGATGGTTTAAACAGATTTTGGTATCTATTCCTGTAAAAGGATTTTTTGGTGCCCAGTGGTGCACAGGGCTTGGGAAGGAAGGAAGATAACATTCTGCCAGTCGGTCGTTGGTGAGGCTGTCAGAGGCTGTGTGTGTGCCGGCTGTGCTATGTTGGGCTTACATGCTATTTTTTCAGTCGTGAAGAACTAAATTATTTACCCCTACACCTGAAAAGGTGCTAGTGTCTACATATCTCTACTTGTCAAATTGGGGAAACTGAGGCTCAGAAAAGTTTGAAGAGTTTACTCAAAATTTTAGGGAAGTCGGTCAAGCAGACCTAAAAATGGAGCTCCCTGGATGTAAGTTACCTCTTTGTTATCCCTTTGGTTGATTTACTTAAGAATCAACCCATGTTCGACATTGAGGTCATGCTCATTTTCACAGGTGCTTTAAAACACATCACGCTGCCAACGTCAAGTGTAAGAATCTAGTCCCTGAATGACACCCTGATGCACACCCCCACCTTGGCATCTCCCCCGCCATGGTTGTAGTCAGTCCAGGGAACACAGGTTCAGCTCCTTCTCCTCGAACCCATCCCAGTATCTCCCGCCTCACTATGCGAGAACCAACCTAGGGCTATTTCACGTTTTCCAAGGCACCTAATTTACAACCTATGCCAATCCCTGTCTCTTACAAGAAGCTGCCTCTTCTTAAGAGGTCAGAGCTAGAATGTGCCAAAAGGCATCAAGCATACAAGAACTTAAAATAAAATGGCTCAAAAATATCAGAAAGGAATGATCACTTGGAACATCCTATAATTTTAAAGTAAGAGGAAGAAACACCTAAGAACTTGCCAGAGCTCAAAGACCTTAAAAGACAGATTGGCCAAATGTGGTCACACCTTGACGTCATTTAGCTTTGTAAGTTCCATGTTAACCAATTTGGTTCATCCTTCTTTTGTCTAAGATATCAGTTCATTGCCGCGGTCCAGGAGGGTGGATAGAAACAGAATCAGTTTATCCAAAACTTGAGATCTGCGAGGTGTACAGTTTTTCTATCTATTAAACTGTAGAAAGCCACACATTCCTTTTCGGGTTGCTGAACCTTCCCAGATATTCCCATCTCCCAAGGAAATGACCAGTCTCTGGGCTACAGGCCCTTTAGTTTCCTTAGCAATCCTCATTGCCTTCTCATGGCCTCAAACTCCTTAGAGAAACATTAAAAATAGCAAATGCCTTTTTGCTATTTTTTTTTTTTAAGCTGGGTGAAATTTTTCCCATCTCTGCCAGGAGGCTGCCTGGGTCTGAGTTCTTTAGCTTTTCATCTTGTGATTAATAGAAACAGGCCACCGTGTCATCTTTTCATCGTAATATCACTTGAAAACCCATTTTCATTTTATGTCGTGCGTCTGTCATCCTGAACTTGCGCTGAGAATAAGGCCCGTCTTCCTCAAAGTAGAGCTGGAACACACTGCTCTGTTTCTTTCATCTTTGCCTCTCGAGCCACTGCGGGTCTGTCCCTTTTAGTTCGTTGGTGTGAGAATTGCATTTACTGACACTCAGTCACCTCCACACATGCAGAACACGGTAGGATCTTCCAAACAACATCTTCGTGCTGTATTTAAATTAAACTCTGCTCCATTTTACCATTGGCAATACATTTCTGTTGGTCCTTTCTAAGTTTTATCTCTAGATAGCAGAGTGATGATTTAGTCATACTGGACCCAATATAATTAAACCAAATTCTTACCAGATTCCCAGGAACATGGCTGTGTGGAATACATGGAAGACATAAAACCACCTCCTATATTCAAATAATCTCAGATGGTTCTACTTTGATATTTTGTTAAGTTGTTACTGAGATTGCTCATTGTCTGAACTGAACATACCCTGTCTTTCTTGGAGACCCCACCTGCGCTCCTGGTAAGCCCCCAAAAGGACACTCTGTGTTGTCCATTAAGAGGAATAACGTCACTTTCCCTCATCAACATCTCTAGTCTGTCTACATTTATCTTCAGATTGAATAACCATCTTAATGAATCTTTTCCAACCTCTTCCAGAAGTCTAGACCTTTGGTTGGTTATAGTGCATAGAAAATTATCTCTGTTGACTTTTTTGTACCTATCTGCACATTCAGTGGTTTGCTGAAAGGGGGCTTTGCATCCTTGGCAAAGTAGTAATTACTTACCTCTGTTTCAGTGTAATTTGCAAAGTACTCTCACATACGTGCACTCATTTCATCTCCACGGTAATTTTTCAAGGAAGGGGATTTTGTACCAGTTTTAGAGATGAGAAAAAAACATCCAAAAAAATGAAGGCTTCAAGAAGCTAAGCTGCTTTTCCGAGGGGGCATGCTAGTCAGTGGCTGAGCTGGGATTTGAACTCAGAATATCTGACTTCAAATCAGCACTCGTGGACTAAATGATTCCCTCTCTCCTGGATGCGGGAGACTATCGGGGAAACAGATTTTGGATGGTGCATTCCAAATCTTGGTCCCTGTAAAGAGGCATCCTCTGGGATAGCTCTGTAAGACCACTGAAAATTAGGCAAGACAGGCCCAAATTGAGTATTTCTTAGAAGCCTGTGTGGGTTAATTACCGTTGTTACAGTATGAAGTTGGGAGAAGAAAGACAGGAAAGAGGCTCCCTCCAGCACTGAACCGTAGTAGACCCCATGACAGGAAACATCTGAACTCAGTGGCTAAGCGTGCTGTGTCTGAACTCAGGCATCAGAGACCCTGGATTCAGATCTAAGCTTCATAACTGTCACGCATGTGACCTCAGGGAAGTCAATGAAACTCTGTGTCTGCTTCTTCATCTGGAAAATAATAGTAGGTGCCTTCCTGACACATGGTGGGATTGCACGAGACACAATAGTACAGTGATACAACTGTCTCGAAGATGACGGAAATGAGAAAAGTAAGCCTAGTTGGTACACTTATACGTTGCTAAAGCATTTTAATCTTCACATTAGCCTTATACATAATAATAATATGATCATCCTAATTTTATAGATTTGAAAATTGAGACCAGATAAAGTTTTATGTTTGCCTTAGGTTGTGACAGAACCTGGCACCAAAGTGAGATTTTTCTAAGAATGTATTCTTTGGACTGACTACATCACACACCTTAGGGCCTAATTAGGCATATTATTCTCGGAGCGCTTGATGAGAGACAGAGGCAGGGCTCATGCTTAATAGTGGAAATGTGAAATGCACCGTGACATGGACAGAGGGGGGCCAGATTTGGGGTGACAGCAATAGCAACGGAATTCAGTATGGTTCCCACTGCGTAGAGGATTTCACAGAGAGTAATGGAAACACAGAGCAGGATCCTGAATCTACTCTAAGGACAGACTTAAAGCAGGGTGGAGAGTGGGGGTGGCTCCCTGGAGATGTCACTGAGCTGAGTCGTAAAAGAGGAGTGAGAATTAGCCAAAAAAAAGGCATAAGGGCCCCAATGGTTTCCATCTGCCAGGATGCACTTTCCTATGGGGGATAGAGGTGGAGGGTCTTTAAGAGTGTCTACCTCCACAGACTCTTCCTTGCTTTGAAGTCACTCTGATGCCAGAACATTGTCAAAAGCAGCTTCCAACTCTAGCCCAGGCTTTGCCACAGACAGCAACAGTCAGTCGGGTTTCATGCACTGCCCCATTCACAAAATAGAGGACACTTAGTGACATCGTAGGGACAGGGGCTGGATGGCCTTGCACAAAGACAGTGGCATGAAATTGGAGCTGCCAGAAGTTCTTGCCGGTGAGAAGCCCTTGGGCTCCTCCTGGATCTAGGGTATATGAATGGCTCCCTCGATGTTAGATGTGGCCTCCTCTCTCAAAGGCCCCTGTGCCGGGGAGGAAACCAGCAGTGATCATTCTCAAAAGCCTGTGTCGTTTCCCAAACTTTAATTAGAAAAATTTGGGATCCTGTTTTTTGTTGTTGTTTTGTTTTGATTTGGTTTTTTGCATTTCCTCAGGAATGTTTTTTTAGGGGGGGAGATTATATCCTCTCCACTTTAGCCATGTTTCAATAATTTTTTTATAAATTAAGTCTTCAAACAAAGGGATTAAAAATCAGCTATCTCATTTCAGAGATTCTTCCCACAGATACTGTAATAAAAAAATAATACATACAGATGTAGCACAATTTTCCCACCTCTCCTTTTGCTACCCTCCCCATCCCACGGCTGGAGAGAGAACTGGACCAGAAAATTATGATATGGAGCTTTCTTCTGAAAAGCAATAAAA